AAACCGGTAAGTCCCATTACCCCCCCAACAAGCATAAGAACGTAAAGCTTTAAAGCATTGTAATCCTAGCCAGCCTTGCAATCCGCTGTACACCTTCGCATACTCGACTACTATTATTCACTCATTCATTCGTTCAATCTCCTATGAACTTTCAAGGTCGAGGATCATCAACAGAGATTCCGTGTGCAAGCATTGAGGTAAAAGAGCATTGCGTCGGCTACGTCAGTCCTCTTCTCATCGTTTATTATGCAAACATAACGGAACGCACAGCTAATCAAGCTCTTCTACGCAGATATTTCCTCGTATTTATGACCCAATAAGAGTAGTAGTAAAAACTCTGTTATCAACTCGTACCAATCGTTGTAATACTCTTGAGATCCTTCAGAATGACTTTGTTTTTCGTTGTAGCATTCGGCGACCCCGAAATGCGCAAATTCCTTAGGGAATAACGGTTGTCGTCATTGTCATCTTCCTAAAAGAGCATTTCACGTAGATTGACAGGTTTGTAAAAACAATTACAAGAAAATTCAATATAAGATGAATGTAAAATTCTATATTTACATGACCTTTTCTCCTTGGTTTACACAAAAAGTAAATATAAATGTTAAGTGCTCAAGTAAATTCTGTTTACAGTGCTTACAGGCACTTGATTCACCAAAACTCGTCACTTCCGTCAAGTGTGTGTGTGTGCTGCATTCATTCATTACATGAAATCGCTTGCTTACCTCTGACAGGATATTCTTATTGTTGTTTGGATCATAGGTATAGGATACGGAACATTCATAATTGCACTCGTCTTCACACGATGAAGACATTTGGCTGGACCGAAGTTGACGTCTGCTTCGAAACGCAGAAAGCCTCAAATAGTTGAGAGGTTTATGTGCAATATTGAAAGAAAAACAGTGATAATGTAGAAGAGATCGAAAAAAGGTGCAAAGCAAGAAAAAATGAACTAACGAAATTGTTTTTGGGATAGATAGTGGCAAGCGGGAGAGGAATTTTAATTGTAGCAGACAGTGAGTGTAGATGACTAGGAAAGCCAAATGAAAACCTTCAAGGTGATGTGAATGTTGAAAATGAAAAATAAAGTACCTTCATGACTGGAGCATGACAAATAGGGAGGGAAACATTTTAATTTAGAAAAAAAAAGGAAATAAAGTGGCGCAAAGTCGCTCACTTTAGAATCGGCAGACCCTTTCAGTAAAATGAACATTATCAAAATCAACAATGCAGTCGGATATACGTCCCAAAGAACCGCTGATATATGCGGGAAGCTCGAAATTTGCATAATGAACATTAAATAGTTCGACATAGAGGAGGAGCCTTTAGCGACAATGGGCGGCGCTTCAGGAAGAAGGGGAGGAGGATTTTGAGGCTACACGTCCAAGTGTTGAGCTGCACACAAATTCACCCGAACCGCAAACAATCATAGCACTCAAACATAAACGCAAACAAACCATTTTTCAAAGTATCTCGTGCAAATATCCCTTAAATGTCGTGATCTTGTCATTGCCGGGGTTTTTCGAGTAATCAACATTGTGCTCATCACACGGTTTGAGAGTGACGAAGTGGCTGCTAGCATCGCAGGAGATTTCCCCTCTTTTTAAGAGAACTTAAAGAGAATACTTGAAAGTTTCTTTGATTATAAGCTCATTCGAGAGAGCTGTGATTATTTCCACATGTGAAACTCACGAAAATCTGTTTCTCGTGGAGGTTGTAGTGGCTGAAAACACATTGCGCTATGTTTAATGAGACTTTTTGGACAAGTATTGGCTCTAACGGCCACATAAATGCTTCAAACCTCGCGTTTTAACTGTGGGACAAACAGATTTCTGGATCAAATACAGGGGAAGGACCGGCTTAAACTGATGGCTACTTGAAGTGAGTTGGAATGGGCAAGCGCAGACTAAACTCGAGCATCTCGCAACTGATAGCGTAAATAGAGAAAGCCATGTCTCAAGTCATAGATATTGTGTAAACATAAAACGTTTACCAAATCCAAAACTGTTATTTTTGGTTTTAGGATTGAACATAGGGGCATTTAGCACAATTTTCGGGAATTTTTAACGACTTGCGAGAGGAACTCATGCATACTGGAAAGACACATTTTCAGAAATTTGGTAAAACTGGGAAAGGGAGAAGGTGGCTAGAATTTTTTTTGAAATAGTTTTTAGGATAGGTTCTTGGATAATGTTTCATCAAAACTTCCCTATAATGTGTTTAAGGACTTGCTAGAGATAGATAGCCTTGTCTACTTTTAGATGCTCGATGTTTTTCTGCAATTTCCTTTTCAAGCGATGATTGACATTAACGCAAATGTTTACCTGCAAAGCACATTTCAAAACAATATAGCTCATAACAAATCAAATTTCAATACACTCTAAGTGATATCGAAAATTAAAGCATGAAATTGCACAAAGCTTGTTCCAACTCATATGGTCACTAATTTAGAGGTGTGCTCTCAGAGCATACTTCAATTTGGACTTGTGTTTTTCCCTAGCGCTTCGTTCTAAGTCCAACTATCCCCACTGCAAACACGTGGACGGGTAGACGAGTTATAATGAAGCGGCAGCTATTTGATTTGTGGCTCGTCTCTCACAGTCCACTTACTGCAAAGGGGAATGAAAGTAAACGTCAACAATCACTAACCTTGTTAGCATCGTCGCTCAACCGTTCCGTTTATTCATTTCTAGTCTAAAAATAAATTCAAACGAGTTTTTTGTTAA